TATGAAAATTATAAATTAATATTAAATATTTAAAAATAAAATTTTTGATTTTTGAAAATGAAACCTTATATCTAAAATTTGAAATTAAATCTTGATAACTCTTGTTTTGTATAATCTCCTCCTTGTTTATTTGGACATTGCCTAATGTTAAAAAGAAAACAAAAAGGGAAATGTTCTAAACTTACTGTTACAAAGATTTTAATTATACCCAAAAAAATTGAAAGGTTGCCTCAATATGTCCACTTTGGCACTAAAATATTGAATACTAATTTTACCCTTAGATATTAATTATATGTCCAATATACCCTTATTTAATTGTAGTTTTGTTAATAATTAATTAATAACATCGATTCAATTTATTCAATAAGAAATTTTAAAAAAATCATTTTTTTCATATGTCAATAATTTCCTAAATTAAACTTTTTAATATTACATTAATTTTTATTAACAGCATTAATTCTAACCAATAGCCCATTTTTTTCATTTGTCAATAATTTCCTAAATTAAACTTTTTAATATTACATTAAATTTTATTGACAGCATTAATTCAAATTATATATTAAGTCATATGCCCAATATACACTTATTTAATTATAAGTTTGTTAATAATTAATCTACAATATTTAAAAATAAAGGATTGAAGAGAAAGTTTTGAATATCACTTTTACCCTTACATATTTATCTATATATCCAATGTACCCTCATTTGGGTTTCTATTTTGTTCTTAAATTTTGGAAAAATTGTAGTAACGGTCCCTATTTTATCCTTTTACATTTTTCCAAATGTTAACAATTAGAATTTAAAAAAAAACCTGCCCTCAAAGATTGCAAATTCAAACTTGAAAATGATCTTTCCAATTTTTGAAGAATTATGGGCAAAGGGATTGATTGATGGGACGGTTTTTCAAAACTTTTCTANTAAGTATAAAGTTGCTTTTAAATTTCTTGCTTATCACACGAGGGAACTGTGTAGTATTATATGATAGTGCTGATAAAGTCATCGAAAAGCTTTACCTTTTAAGAAGACTAGTTTATTGCCCGTGCAATGCACGGGCAATGTAATTTCGAAGGTAATCTTAGCGTTCCAAAAAAATCTCTCCCCCCGCTTTTATTTGGTAACTTCTTCTTAAGCATTGAATGCATAATATAACATTTTTTCACACTTAACAGTCAAGGATTTCGACGAGTTCTACTAAAAAACTACTGCGGACGCTAACCATTATCATCTCTTGATTCAGTTGCTTCAGGAGAGTGATCTTTGTCTTCTCTTGCCTCAGTAGCTCTAGGTAAATCACCATTCTCTTGTCTAGCCTCATTTGCTCCAGGTAAATCAACATTATCTTCCTTTACCTCAATTGCTCGAGGTACAATATTCTCTGGGCTATTTTCTTTGATAACTGCAAATATTTATACCTAATGAAAGTAGTCAGAAAATAGCTAATAGAGTGATGTGCAAGCTGTGCATTTATGGCAACTAAAGAAGAAACGAGTAAATGACCATACTCACTAAGTTAGTGCAATTGGGGTTGCATTACTTCTTATCCAGTGACATAAGTTCAATGTAGGGTAGTAAGGGACCAGGTCACATTGAAGTGCAAAATTTGATAAATCCAGGATTCAATTCTTTGGATACACTAACCATGCATGTTAAAAAAATTGAATAATATAATAGTTTTTCTATGAAGATAAACAATATATATGGACAAGTCTTCAATACTATAGGAAGTAGAATGAACATTTGAGGTTGTCAAAATTCAACTATTTAATTTGCTACCTACGTGGATATGAAATGACAACGTGATTTGAAATTCGATGCGGGTTTAGATATACAGAGTAACTTATGACTTACCTTCCTCTGGAGCACAGTGTTTATGTAACTCCTCAAGAGGTAGATCAATTTCATTTTGTAAAGAAGCCAATTCTTCTTCTCTTTCTTCTTTAGTTATAAGGGCCTCATCTTCTTCAATAGTATGCTCTTCGTCTTCCTAAAGCGGGATCATCAACATACGGTGAATCAGTGATACTTTATTTCGTACTTTGTAAGCACAAAGTTAAAATGATAGAGAATAATAGATTTCAGTATTATAACAAATATTTTCACTACACAAACATTTCCTGGAGCTAGATTTTGAACATATGGAAGCACAAAGTTTACATATTAAAGAAGAATATGAAATTTCAATATCATAACAGATGCCTTCAGAGCACAAACATTAGCATTGTGCATTACTTGCAGTGAATGAGCCCAAAGACACAGGACTCAATCATATATTACTCATAAGAAGTCATACATGATTGATATAAAACATAACCCTGTATGTGGAGAGGCAACGCATTTGGAAACAAGTTATGTACACCCTAGTAAATTAGTACCTCATGTTACAGCAAGAGTAAGCACAAATGAGGTTACCAGAAATGAGCCTATACTCAAAAGTTTGAATTTTGGAATGGTACATTAAAAACTATACATTCCCCGAACTATCCAAATTTAATGGAATGAGTGGTAAAATCCACAGGATTTCTTGCAATATGTAGAGACTTTCAAAATTAAATAGAAATGAAAAAGAGAGAGAAACTATCTGAACCAAAGTAACAGCCACTCGCGTATGACTGCAAAGAGAGTTAAATCAAGGTATCGGCTGTAAATTACCACGTGTATCTTACTTTCCACAGCAATAAACATTTGAAGAAAGTTTCCATGGCATAAAGCAAGGAGGCTTACTGATTCATAATCAGAATGCACATCGTAGTCTTTGTCAACATAAGGAGACTTTGATTGAGATCCAGCATTGCAGTTCAAATAAGGGAAGATCCAAAACCCCACATACAGTAAAATAAACCAAATGGAACAAATTCACCATTTCTATACCAGTCTTTTAATTAGTTGTCTTATTAATAATATCTTCACCTCCTTCTTTCTATTGAATACTCAATTGCTCTTGAGCAGAGTACGAGTTGATTGGTTTCCGAGGAGTTGGTGAGTTTACAAGGTTCTCTGCCAACATCGTTGAGTACCTAGTAAAATTGCAAAAATAAAGAACGTCAATTAGAAAAAGAGATAAAGAAAGAATGTAAAGTCAATTATGATATGGACAACCACAATAACTTCATGTGATACACAGCTACTATTGTTCTCTAGGTACCATAACTACTTGAAACAGATTCCAGAGAACAGAATTTAACCTTTCAGTTTGCCCTAGAAGAAGCTCCAGTTGCCTATCAAGTACTTTTTTCTTCTTTTCATCAAACTCTAGCCGATGCTTGTACAGGACCAAACAACCATGTATAGGAAATTTTTCATTCTCAGAAGGTAGTAATCATGAAAGACTTGGGAGTTATTAAAAGCAATTATCCTAAATGACTTGCCAGTTTCTCTATTTTTGTCCAAAATTTCTTTACATCCTTAGATATATTGACTACCACTTTTCTCAACCGATGGTCCTCTTCCTGATAGAAGCATTAGGAAAACAATCACAACCATCAGAAGAATGTCAAAATAATTATCTATTCTTGTACAGCCTACATGTATGAATCTTCTCAGGAACGAGAACCAAATATAAACCTTCACTCTCTTCTCAACCCTTGTGGCCAGATCCACCATGCCCTTGCTGGCTCTTATTGCAAATTTTTTGGTGCGGGTTTCTTTGTTTTATATTTCTGTTTCGTTTGTGGATGTTTTAGCTTTTATATTTCCTTTCATTAGCTTTGATTCCTATGTTCATTTCTTGAGTTTCGTTGCTTTGGAGGAGAAAAGCTCTTTTTTTAATGATTTTGAAGATATAAGTGAAGAAAAAATTCTGTGTACCTGTAGGGAAGGATCAACCTGGTCGAATACCATTTCTGCAAGTGCAATTCCAGCCATAGGTCCATTCTCCTCTGCAGGTGAAGGAACAATTTCTGTTTAACTTCTATGGTATTTTGGAAATGATCTCTTAGAAGCTCAAAGGGAAAAAAATGAACTTCAAAACTAAAGGAAAAAAAAAACTAAAAGTGCCCAATGAATGAAAAACATTTACATGAAATACTTAAGAATCTAGGAAGGCCAAAATTTAACAGCAGCATTTATTAGTTCTACCATTTGGCTTATAAAAAAACATATGAAGAAAATATATAGAAAAGTACAGAGTTCTAAGTTTATGCATAAGAATCAGTAGGCCTGAAAGCTCAACATACCAATAATGAAGAGAAGATGTAATAGGAACAGGGTTGGGATTGCAAATTAATATTTCATTCAATCAAGCAGATAAGATAGTTGATATAGTAGGTGCTACCATGGTGTATGACCCTCCAATCACCATAGGTAATCGGGTCTCAAACGAATATAAGTGGATGTTGTATAAAGTAAATGGTATTATTACTAAAATGAACAAAAGTGTTGTGCATAAACCTTCTCTCCTGAGACAGGATCTGTAAGTTGTAACTGGACTGTGAACTACAAATGTATTTGAAAATTAGAAAAGGATAATTTACTGCAGAGTCCTTATTAGTATAAAGAATGTAAAAAGTAAAGAGTAAGAGTGAAAGTGGAAGTGAAAGTGAAAGTGAAAGTATAATAGAACCCACCTTTATAGGAAGAATGGCTACGTTGATCTGTTGTGTCATCTCCTTTTTCCGGTTACATGTAGTATTAAGCCCTTGTTTGAGCCCTTTTAAATTAAATGGTGATGGACTAACACTTGGATCTTTCCACCAAGAACGCTCTATGACAGATGAAGACTGCAAAATGAACCTCCTCTGATAGTTTGCTTCAGGGGTAGAACACATTTCGGACTGCTCATCTGAAGGCCTATCATTTGGTTCATCAATAGTCATACCCGTCACTTCCATTGAACTTTCCTCATCTTTTGCCCCATTTGACAAACCATTATTCAAACCATGTGGTGGAGGATCGTATTTATGAATTGATTCCTCGTATCCATGAGTTTGGTCTAACATCGCCCTATCTTCTGAATTTTTTGGCATTTTCTCCCTCCTATTATTCTCCATATCATCTAATAATCTCTACGCCTCTAGTGTAATATAAATTCCTAACAAGCA